AAAAGGGAGATTCACCTGGGCTTGGGCTTAAACAGCCTGGAAAAGGGAGATTAATCCTGGGTTTGAGTTTAAACAGCCTGGAAAAGGGAGATTCATCTGGGCCTGTTTTAAAATAGCTGGAAAAGGGAGATTCATCTAGCCTGAGTTTAAACAGCCTGGAAAAGGCAAATTCATCTGGGTCTGAGTTTTACCAGCATGGAAAAGGGAGATTCACTTGGGCTTGGGTTTAAACAGCTAAGAAAAGGGAGATTTATCTGGGTTTGTGTTTAAACAGCCTGGGAAAATGAGATTAATCTGGGTTTGAGTTTAAACAGCCTGGAAAAGGGAGATGCACCTGGTCCTGGGCTTAAACAACCAGGAAAAGGGAGATTTATCTGGGCCTGGTTTTAAACAGCCTGGAAAAGGGAGATTAATCCTGGCCAGGTTTTAAACAGCCTGGAAATGGCAAATTCACCTGGGCCTGAGTTTTACCAGCATGGAAAAGGCAGATTAATCTGGGTTTGAGTTTAAACTGCCTGGGAGAATGAGATTAATCTGGGCCTGGTTTTATACATCCTGGAAAAGGGAGATTCACCTGGGCTTGTAAAAATGAGGTTAATCTAGGCCTGGAAGCCCCAGTTTAGGAAAGGGAATTTGCACAAAAAGACCTTTGCTGCTTGCCCACAGCACATGGAGCAGATCCCAGGGATTGGCATCCACACACATCCCAAGCCAGCCAGGGCCAGGCAAAGGCTCTCCAGGGCATGGGGTGTCTGCAGTGCAGGAATTGGGGTACAAATCCCAAGGATTTTCCTTCCCTTGCCACACCTTGCTGTGCCCAGGTACCCCCAGGATCCTCTCTGGGAGCTGCTCCAGGAAGGAATTTCCCTCATCCTTGCTGGGTTTCTCATGGATAAAACCCCATCCTGCAGCATCCCAACACCCACCAGGATCCCTCCCGGATTTCCAGGAGGAACCTGAGGATTGGAGCAATCTGATTTTCCTGCAGGAAAGCCTCCAGGAGAAGGAACAGAAGGCACCCCATGGATCACCAGTTTGCCACTGGAATTTGGCCGCTTCCCTGGGATCCGTCCCAGGGCCCAGAGGAAAAATGAATGGGATAAATTTAAAAATCCAGGCTGGGTGCCTTGAGGGGAAATGCAAGGATCATGTAATTTCCTTCTTTTCTTTTTAAATCCAAGGAATTTGCCAGCCTGCCTCCCTCACACCATGTTGAACCTGCTGGCCCTCAGGGCTGTGATCCTGTCCTGGAGCGTCCAAAGCCCGCAGGAATCACCTCACTGCTGCTCCAACACCTCATTTTTGGCAGAAAAAGGTCTTTTACACAAAGCTCAGCAGTGAATTGATACAAAGTGCAACACAGGCCTCAGAATTCCAGTGCTGAGGTGGGAAATCCCGCTCGGAACGGACCCACATCAGATCCAAGAGCTGAGCAGGAATTCAAGATTTTTCCTGATTAAATTAGGATTTGTTGCTCACACTCCAGCAAAAAAAAAACTCAGATTTGGGAGATTTTTGCCATCAGCCCTGGAACCAACACCCTCCCTGCTGCTATTGAAACAGCAGGGCTGGGCCCAGGGAAGGAAAATGATGGAAAACCCCGGAATTTCTGGAAAATCCCACTCACCATGAAGTCAATGTTGTTGTCCTCGTTCCGGAAATGCTCCATGAGCTTCTCGAAGCGCTGCTTCTCCCCGCACACCTGAAAAGCAGCAGCACACCTGGGGTCAGCCCCAAAAATCACTCCAAAACCACATTTTATCTGCTCGTTCAGACCCTCCCCAGCCAGGTTTCCTCCCGTTAAAATATCAGGAATAATTCCACGTGGGCTCCTGCAGCGTGAGGCTGAGGAGCCAGGCACAGCTCCTGCGCATACCATAATTACCAAAGAACTCTTTTTTATCTCTTTTCTCCTTAAAAATTGGATCTTATCCATGAGTGGAAGGAGCAGAGCTGCACCAGGCTGTGCCACAGCTCAGAGCTGACTTTTCTCTGTAATTAGGGAGAAACCCAAATGACAGGGAGGGGAAAAAAAGAGAAAATTATCCCTGGCTGAAGGAGGAGTGAAAATAAATCAGTGCAACAATCAGAATTCCAGAGTGACCTTCCAAAAGCTGTCTGGATGAGCTGCATCCCAATTTATTTTTTTGGCATTTCTTCTTGCCTCGGAGCAAAACACATTGGATTCTTCAAAGTCATGGACACCTTCAGAAAAGCTCCTCAGCTCTGAGTTTTTTCTTCCAAAGCACCTGAATCCTGGGTTTATTTGTAAATTCCAGATTTCCCACCCAGAGATGCCACGAGCACACCTCCCCTCCAGTATCCCATTTTTATGGAATATTTTTGTATAAAAACAACCCAGCAGCTCTGCTGGGTGAGAGTCCATGCTGGGAAGTGCATTTTGGGTTGTTTGGATTGTTGTTCTGTGTTGGGGAGCGTTTATTTTGTTGTAGGTTTTTATTATTTGAGATAAGCTCAGCTGGGATATCCCATTCCAGCACTTTGCCCACCCTGGAAGGTGCTGGATTTGTTGGAATTACAACTCTTTTGCATAAACATGGAAAAGAGGGATAATATTATTTCACTAATTTGAATTATCATTATTTCCAGTAATTGAATTATTATTAATATTTGCAATTTTATATTATGGTTTTACTTGTTGGGGAACACCTTTTATGGCAAAAGGTTTTTATTTGTTTTATATTTGGAATGGTACTGATTTGTATAGTGGTTTTTTATTGTATTTAAAGTAACAATTTGATGTTGCATATTTTCTGTAGATTTTGGGTAACATTTTGTCATTTATTTAAATTTTTTATACTTGAAATATGTTTTTTTGGTGAGTTTTGTTTTTATTATATTTGTGGAATTATTTTGTTGAGGGGTTGCATGGAGAGTTGTGAGGGGCTTTTTGAGGTTTTTTTCAGAAGTTTTGGAATTGTTTTTTTTTTAAGACATTTGTTTGGATTGTTGTTCTGTGTCGAGGAACGTTTGTTTTGTTGTAGGTTTTTATTATTTGAGATAAGCTCAGCTGGGATATCCCATTCCAGCACTTTGCCTGCCCTGGAAGGTGCTGGAATTGTTGGAATTACAATTCTTTTGCATAAACATGGCAAAGATTGATAATATCATTCCAGTAATTTGAATTATTATTATTTCCAGTAGTTGAATTATTATTAATTTTTTTTTTATATTATGGTTTTATTTATTGGGGAACACCTTTTATTGTAAAAGGTTTTTATTTCTTTTATATTTGGAATGGTACTGATTTGTATAGTGGTTTTTTATTGTATTTGGGGTAACAATTTGTGTGGTTTTTGTAGGTTTTAGGTAGTATTTTGTTATATGTTTAAATTTTTTATACTTGAAATATGTTTTTTTGGTGAGTTTTGTTGTTACTATTTCTGCAGAATTATTTTGTTGAGGGGTTGCATGGAGAGTTGTGAGGGGCTTTTTGAGTTTTTTTTCCAGAAGTTTTTGAATTGTTTTTTTAAGACATTTGTTTGGATTGTTGTTCTGTGTTGAGGAGCGTTTGTTTTGTTGTAGGTTTTTATTATTTGAGATAAGCTCAGCTGGGATATCCCATTCCAGCACTCTGCCTGCCCTGGGATGTGCTGGGAATAAAAGGCGCTGGAATTGTTGGAATTAATAATAATTCAAATTACTGGAAGAATCTCTTCTGCATCAACACAGGGACCACTGAATGGACACCGGGGTGCTCCAGGGGACACCTGCACTGATGGAAAACCCTTCCTGCAGGGAATTCAGCTGGATGAGCAGGCTCCCACCCACCCCTAAGAGATGTGGGGCCACCCAAATTTGCCCAAGCAGCTCCACCAACCTCCTTGAAGTTATCAAACGCAGACAAAATGATCTCGTGGCCCCCTCGGACCAGGCAAACGGCTGCCAGGAGCTCCAGGACCAGAGCTTTTGTCCTGTGGGGGCAAAAAAGGGACACTGAGGCACAGCTCCTGGTCCTGCAGGGACGGGGGGAGCTGCAGCCTCGCTCCGTGTGATTCCATCCCTGGAATAAACGTCCCTGCAAGGTGCACAGTGCTGCTGCAGGGAATTTCACCTCTCCTGCCAGCATGCAGCTCCCCCCTTCCCGTTTTTAAAGCTTCTCAAACCATGCAGGGATTGAAATCCCGAGTTGGAAACTCAAGCAAAAAGGCACCGGAGGAAGAAGCTGCTGCTCCCAGGGAATTCCCTGCACACGCCTGGAGGAGCAGCTCTGCACCCCCAAGCGCCTTCCTCGGAGGCCAGTTTTTAATGGAGCAGCTTAAAATTCCAATCTGCAGTTGGCCTGACACGAATCTGAATTATTCTCGGTGATAATTTGTATTTATAGCCCCCCACACACACACAATTCACTGCAGGAACGCAGGCTGTTGGAGCACGTCCTTCTCCTTAAAAATCAGGAATTTGAGCTGATTTTCAGCAGTGAAGCTGAGAGAAAAGGAGATCACTGAGGGAAAAACATGCAACAAACTCGGTGTAACCCTCCTGGAAATAATCTACAGTATTTCCTTCCAGGATTCCTGGAAAACAAAAGACTTTCTGGGCAGCTGAGCTCTGAGCAGAGGCAAACCATGCACACACAGGAAAAAAATTAGTCCCATGCTCAAGCAGCGACTCAAAGCAGATGTTACAGAACAAGAAATACCTTGTGGGCTCTCAAAGGGTCAAGGTTATCTTTGGAAACCAGAAAAAATGGTCACTTCCCTAGGAAATTTTAAATGGAATGTTCAATCCTGCCTCCTCAAGGGTTTGTTGTTTTTTTTTCTCCTCCTGCCACAAGAAGAACTTGCAGGTTTTTTTTTTTTTTTCAGGATCAAGGAGGTGTGGTGGGGATTTGCTGGAATATTCCCTTTGAGGGGAGGGGGTGGAGATCTCTGGGGTTGGAGTTTCCAGTGCTGCCCACAGCTCTGGGGTGAGCAGAATTCCCTGGAGCTGGGCTCCCAAACCTCAGGGCTCTCCAGCAGCTGCCACGGGGCTAAAACAAACACAGCTTGGGTTCTGAGCAGGGGTTAGTCCTCAGCTCACTCCAGTCACGTTTCAAAGCAGTTCCTTTAGCCACCAAAACAGAAATAACCCACTTCTTCCAAAAGTGAAAACTTGGGTTCTCCCCTGATTTCCAGCCACTGGAAAATGATAAAAGTGATGATAAAAACGAAGATAAAAAATGATGATGAAAAATGATGATAAAAATGATTTTAAAAATTACAAGAACAATGAACTTTACATTTCTTGGCTTGCTGATTTGGGGCTGAATAAAAGAAAGAAGGAAGAAGCTTCTTCCCTGAGAAGATTCCTGCTCCCAGCCTCAGTCCAGGCTGGGAATACACATCCAGTGAGGTTATCAGCTCATCCCTGTTTCCTTGGAAGCATCTCTGTGTCAGAACTGGACTGGTTTGACCTGCCAAGGTGCAGAATTCCAGGATCTGCTGGAGAGGGACCACAGGGATGTGTGGGAGAGGAGGGACATGGAATCACCAGCAGCTCCACTGAGCAATTACAGCATCCTGGCTGTGGCTGCAACCTGACCCAGAGCAGAGTAAAACCCTCTCCCAGAGAAATTCCAGGCTAAGGATCTTGGATAACATTCCCTAAAGAAGATTCTCCCTGGCTGTGGCTGCAACCTGACCCAGAGCAGAGTAAAACCCTCTCCCAGAGAAATTCCAGGCTAAGGATCTTGGATAACATTCCCTAAAGAAGATCCTCCCTCTCTTCAGGAAAATCCCACAGGAAGCTGCTCATTGCCACTGGGGTTTCCCTGCACTGCAACAGAGCAGAAGGGCTCCAGCAGCCAAATTTCAGCTGAATCCTAAAATTCCAGAATGGTTTTGGTGGGAAGGAGCTTCAAGATGATCCAGTGCCACCCCTGCCCGCGGGCAGAGACACCTTCCACTCTCCCAGCCTGGTCCTGGACACTTCCAGTGATGCCAGCCAGAGCTTCTCTGGGAATTCCATCCCAGCCAGGAATTCCTTCCCAATGTCCCACCTAAGTCCCCCCTCCTTCAGCCCGAAGCCACAATTAAAGCTGGAGAACTTCTGAACTTTCCGAGATTCTGAAAGCCCTGGGATCAGACACGCACTGCTGGTTCATCTGCACCATTCCAGATCCCTCTGATCCAGAGCCAAGCCTGGTTTCTCCTCCAAATCCCCCTCTGGAAGCCCTTTCCAAGCCCTCCTTACTCACCTGCTTGTCCAACCTGAGGAGCAAGGGGAGCCTACCTGGGGTTCTTGTTGTTCAGGCTCAGTGCAATCTCGTTGACGGCGTGAGGATGGGACATGACCATGTTGAATCCGTACTGGAGAGAGAAGGGACAATCCGGCTTGGTCTGACCCCAAAATCCCACCAACCCCACCTCTGAAAGCTTCTCACCAACCCCACCTCCCTGAGAGCTTCTTCTCACCAATCCCGCCTCTCCTGACAGCTTCTCACCAATCCCATCTGAGAGCTTCTCACCAATCCCACCTCGAGAGCTTCTCACCAATCCCACCTCCTCACCAACCCCACCTCTGAAAGCTTCTCACCAACCCCACCTGAAATCTTCTCACCAATCCCACTTGAGAGCTTCTCACCAATCCCACCTCCCTGAGAGCTTCTCCTCACCAATCCCACCTCCCTGACAGCTTCAAGCCAGACAAAACCTGGTGGAATTTCACTCCAGAGTCTTTCATTCTCCCACCGCCCAGCACAGCTTCCAGCTCTGGCCATTCCACGATTTTCCAATTCCCTGCCACCAGCAGCGTTTGGAATCTAATTCCAACCTTTCTCCCACTATCCAGGGTGCTCCAAGCCCTGTCCAACCTGGACACCTCCAGGGATCCAGGAGCTGCTTTTGGCCACTTCAGCCACCAAAACGGCTCCGAGAGCTGCTCCTACACCGCCCTCAACTCTTCCTGCTCATCCCGCTCCTGCGGTCCCTGGTTGGTGGAACCTCCCTGACTGTCCCAGCTGGAATCTGCAGGAACACAGCCGGCTCTGCTCTCCACAGCCCACAGGGAATTCCATGGGAATGCCCATTCCCATGGGATCGTTCCTGCCTCCCTGCCAGCTCCTCACGAGGAGCTCAGCTCGTCCTGCTCTGAGAGGAAAATCCCAAATTCCCGAGGCTGCCGGGGCGCGCTGCCCGGCCCCAGCATCCCGCTGGAGACCGGGAATCTCTGAGAGCGAGATGAGCTCGGTCCAGTGCGTTATTCCCAGTTATCCCACGGCTCTGCCATAGGCACATTCGAGGGAAACCTTGGATTTCCCATCTTCTCCAAAAATCTCCTGTTTTGGAGTGTAACTGCTAAACTCCGGACTAATAACTAAATATAATATGACTGAATTCCTTTATAATAATGTTATTTTATGATTCATTCTAGAATTATTTTATAATTCATTAATACTACATAGAAAATATTTGTTATTTAATATATTTGTATTATTATCCATTTTATACAGCAGTTAATAGATCATTTAATATATTCATAATTATTATTTAAATATTAAATAAAATTTTAATTATATATAATATTATTATATATAACATATATTATATATATAATTATACATATTTTATATAATTGTATATAAATAAAATATATATAATTATATAATACATAATATATCACATATAAAATATAATACTATTATTAGATATTATATATTATATAATATTATATAATAATTATTTTAGAATGTTATAGTTTATTCTCTTTATCTATTTCATGGATATTAATAGTATATTATTTTATATTTATATAAAATTATATAATATATTATTAAATATATAGCAAATAGATTTTTGTTTTATTTATTATTAATATGATATAATAGAATATAACATATATTTATATTATTATATATATTATATATTATTATATATTATTTTATTATATGTTATGTTATGTTATGTTATGTTATATATATATATATTAATGTGTTATATTATCTATAATTTTATCTATAATTTTATATAATTATATTATTATTTATATTATATTATATTATATTATATTATATTATATTATATTATATTATATTATATATTATTTTATATTATATAAAATAATAATATATTATTTCCTTTATAACTTATACTAATATACCTAAACTCCAGACTACTTATAACCTAATTAGCTGCATTTCTAATGAGCAGGAGCTTGCCCATCACGTCCAGGCTCCCACTGCCCTTTCCCTAACTCCCTGAACACCACCGCTGTGTCCCGGTCATTCCGATTTTCGGAGAACTCCGACATTCCCCCCGTTCTCCCCTCGGCAGCGCCGGCCCCGCTGCCGGAGCTGCTGGATCACCTGGTAGTTCATGATGGCCCGCAGGCACATGATGCACACGTGCACATCGTCCTTCTTGCTCACCAGCCGCGAGTTCTTCAGGGTCCTGCGGCTGGGCAGGGTGTTGTACCTGCCACAAAAGCACCAAAATAGCACCAAAATCCCATTTTCCATCAGCCACGGCTCCCGATTTCGGCAGGGACAAGAAAGGGAAGTTTTGGAAATGCAGGAGAACCCAAAGGGAAGAAATGAAATGTCTGACTCAGCTCAGAAGGCTGAATGATTTCTTTATATAACTGTGCTAAAATATATTCATATACTATTTGAAGGAAGATACTAAAATTATAAATTTACTTGTTTTAACTCCCATATCTGTGATCCAGCCTCTCTGAGCCCAGCCCCAGGTGGGTTGGATTGGTTTGGAATGGGTTGGATTGGGTTGGATTGGGTTGGGTTGGGTTGGGTTGGGTTGGGTTGGGTTGGATTAGATTGGGTTGGGTTGGGTTGGATTGGGTTGGGTTGGGTTGGATTGGATTGGATTGGATTGGGTTGGATTGGATTGGATTGGATTGGGTTGGATTGGATTGGATTGGATTGGATTGGATTGGATTGGATTGGATTGGATTGGATTGGATTGGATTGGATTGGATTGGCCACCAGGCTCAAACAATCCTCACCAGAATCCACCCAAGCCATCACCCCAGGGAAACAATTCTCCAAACACATTCCACATGGGAAAACAAGGAGCAGAAATAGAAATTGTTTTCTCTTCCATTTCTCTCTGTGCACCTCCATGAAAAATCCTGAGAGGGAGAGAAATGTGCTGCCACAGGAAAGGGAATATCCCCCCACTGGAGTTTTCCAGACAAGCAGAAATAAAGGAGGAAAAGGTGGAAATAAAGGAGGAAAAGGTCCTGGCAAGGATAAAAATAAAGGAGGAAAAGGTCCTGGCAAGGATAAAAATAAAGGAGGAAAAGGTCCTGGCAAGGATAAAAATCCCCAGGTTTGGGCTGCACCTCAGCCCGTCCTGCCAGCACGGGTGACAGGGAATATTCCCAGGAAAACTGGCACGGGAAATGCTACACTGTTTATTGTGATTCCCTGGCTCATCCCTGAAAATTCCTGGTTTAAATCCGTGATAAAAGCAGGAACAGGGAATATCACATCAGTTTTCCATACTTCTTGGCTCATCCCTGAAAATTCCCTGTTTAAATCTACAAAAAAGGTAAGGATGGGGAATATCACACTGGTTTATTGTGACTTCCCAGCTCATCCCTGCAAATTCCTCCTTTTTAAATGTACAAAAACAGGGAATACCACACCGGTTTATTGTGAATTCCCAGCTCATCCCTACAAATTCCTGCTTTTTAAATGCACAAACCAAGAGGAACAAGGTGCCACAGCAGGGCTGGTGCTCCCTGTGCCCACCCTGCCCACAATTCCCAGATTTCCACAATCCCTCCCCTGGGCTTTTCCTTCCCAGCCCTGCTGAGATGAAAGGAATCCCACAAATTCCCCAAATTCAAAGCAGGATTCTATCAAAGGAGTTTTTTCCTTTTTTTTTTTCCATCCATAAATATGAATGAATCCATCAGCTCAGGGCACTGCAGGATTTTGGGAAATGTGACCCAGTTTGAGATCAGCACTCCATATTAACTAATGTAAAATTATATGTAATATGTAGATTAAATAACATTAAATGATAAACATGTACTATTTAATATTAGTTTAAATAATTATAAAATAAATTTCAAGTTATAAAATATTGTATTATTACAAAGGACTTTATTCAGGAGCTGAGTGACCCAAACTGGGAATCTGAACTGGGAAGTGTGGGAGCACCTCCAGTGCTGCCCGGACCTGCCAATGCCCCACATTCATCCCACCAAATGTGAAAAAAAGAATTAAAGTTTTTTTAGTCCCACAGGGATGGTTCCTACGATGGTTGATCTCAGATTTAAATTATAAAGGGCTGCAGAATTATTTTCCATGCATTTTAAATCAGATTAATGAGATTTTTATCACACCACTGTTGGAAGAAAATTAATTTCCTCAGTGCCTGGTGAATCCCTAAATTTTAGAATAGAAGCATCCACCTGTTCTGTTGGCTCTAAGAAATGGGGGGAATAAACAACAAAAATTGGTATAAATCCAGATTTTGGTATTTCCAGGTGCTTGGAAAAACAGAATTGGGAAGCAAGGATACTCCAGCACATCCAGGACTGGGACTGATCTGCCTGGGTCCAACCACCTGGATGGAACCTTCCCAAGCTGAGATGTCCCTCAGGGCAAATTGGGAGAGCTGGGAATGTTCCCCTGGAGAAGGGAAGGATCCAGGCAGAGCTC